GTGTTGAGAAAAATAAGAAGAACACTATGTTGTAGTTTGAAATAATTTTATTCAGTTTTACCACTTTTATCGAACTTTTAGTTTTTCACTGTCAAGMCCAGTGCTTGGGCTACCTGTGCTGAAACCGTGGAAATGCTTGGCGAGGTGCACTATGGGATTGACGAAGTACACGCTGAAGCTATAGATCACTTCCGAAATACAAAATCATGGTGCATTGTGGTCTAGCTTCAGCGAACAAAAGATGTTTGTACCGAATCTAGACCACAATGCAATGCAAACTGCTATAATTTCAGAAAAGGCCTATGTTGTCGGTATTTCAATCCGTTTTACAAACAGCAATATTTATTTTTTACATTCCTTGGAAAACCTTTTCAGCTTATTTCACAAAGAATGTTTGTTTTCGATAATTTTCATATGACGTCCGCCATCTTGAATACCATGATGCACTTCGACAAAATTATAAATATATGACGTCATTACGGATAAAGAGCATTTACCTTAAGCATTTCAGACGCCTCTCTTCTCTTCACATGCATGTGCTCAGATTCTTCTAAAAGCACGTTGAATTCTTCACTCTGAATATCACAAAAATTCAGGCTCATTAATGAAAATTTATCCCATGCCTTACTGGTTAGGTTTAGGGAAAACCAATATAGTTTTAGGCTATGCATAGCGATTGTTCGAACCTTCATGCGCATCCTTGAAAAAATTCTTTTAAGTTTAAGTYTTTGAAAGTTCTTCCTCACATATTAGGGACATGGGAGACAGTCTATGTGTGCATCAGCACTGTGTACATGCACAAACCATATATGAGAGAGTTACTTCTCCGCTGTGAATAGTCTCCTTCACGGTTACCTGCACCATCTTGAAAGGTAGCCGTGCTTTTACATCGAAGTGAGATGACCGTTGAGCGTGCAATGATTGAAACCTGCGAATAATTGTCTGTAGGTGTGAAAAAAGGTTTCATTGCACGCTCAACGATTGTCTCGCTTCGATGCAAAGGCACGACTACCTTTCAAGATGGCGCAGGTAACCGTGAAGGAGGTTATTGTCTATCATAGTAAACTCTTACCTTATAAAGTTTTTCAACCAATTCACTTTGGATTTTCTCTTGAACGTAATTGACAAGAAAGCACATAATTGCTTTTGGTACACTGTTAAGAAAACAAATTTAGAGTTCAAAGGAACAGTCAACCCTCGTAATAACGGACACTATAAAGTGTACGCTTTATCGGGTGTTTCCTTGTTTTAATGGAGTTCGTTCTAGTAAGCGTGGATTTCACTAGCGCATAAGCATAGGCATAAGCACGAAGCACGGGAGTCATATGCGCTAGTGAGAAGAGGGTCAAAATAAGCATAAGCATGAGCACAAGAAAAACGAGCAAGGCTTGATCTTCTTGTGCTTATCTCATGCTTATCTCTATTTTATGCTCAGTGAGAACGGGACTGCATAGGCATAAGCATAGCCTGGTACCAAAAAGATACGCTCGTGTGCATGCTCAATGTCTTATGCTTATGTCGAGCCCGTTCTCACTGACGCATATGATTCTCATGCTTGTGCTTATGCTATGCTTATGTGCTAGTGAAATGCACGCTGTAGGGGGAGGGTATATTGTGCCATTATTACACAATCAACTCTCGCAATAACGGACACTTGAAAAACGTTATTAAGTGTACGCTTTAGCGGGTGTTCCCTTGTTAATGGAGTTCGTTCTAGCAGGGGGAGGGTAAGTAAGTTATTGGTTTACCTGTCTTGAATAGATTTCCTTACGATATTGAAATATGAAACTATCAATTTCCCTGTAAAATAAGAAACCAATTAGCATTGATTTACTCGCAAAAAAAGGAAAAATGTTACATGAGCGCGCCGAGATATGGATTTATATTCGAGYGCTGAAGAGCGACTTTTATCGATACCATCATGCACTTCGACAGCAAACACATGACGTCACTTACTRATGATGTCAGAGTCCATTTGCTCTCTTTCAGTCAATCCTCTTTGACGAAGAGAGCTGGGAAAATCCTAAATAMAACAATCAAAAGAAATTATTGGCCAACTTTGATAGCAGCTTAAGAGGCTTACATAAAACTTCGTCATATCATCCGACATGCAAATCAAAAATTATTGTACGCTCACATCGGGCCGTAAAGACTTGTTTGACAGCTCAAAACCAAGTCGAAATATTTCGAATTGGCTGTGCGCTTTTAGAGCGCTTAAGCGTGTCTCGGAGGTAAGTAAAAATATATACAAATGCGCATGRCGAGCTATGTTCTAACAGGTGTAGATAATAATTCTCTGACTAGGAAAGAAAGAAACCGCCTATACTCAACTCTCCTTGATATCGGACACGTCTGGGGATGCAATAAAGTGTCCGAAATATCGAGGTTAAAGMGGGGTGGCAACTTTGCAAAGTTTTTATTATKATGATGAACGCATAACCAATTCAAAGAAAACTTCCCTCTTCCTTACCGTAGAAACAGTTGTTTGTTTGGCCACTTCACTGACAGACTGATCGGCAGCCTTAGAGCTTCTTATGCCGGGCATCCAGGACATAAAACCACCGGTGYTGTCTGCTGGGTTACTAGGATTAGTACTATTTTCCTCCTCTTTGTGGTCACGGTTTGGGGCGTGGACTGGACTACCAACTGGTGTAGAAGACTGYGATCTTACACCCTGACACAAAGAAGTTCATATTTGAGAATTGGTGATGGAGATAGAATGGGTTCCCATCGGACTGTGAACTAATATTCATAGCCTTCTTCGCAGCCTACTCCTTTTATTCTACTATTGGGTTCCCTGTTGCAGAAAAGCTGACGAGGAGCACTGGCGATGAAAAAAGAGAGAGACTRGAGGCGAGAAAGGAAGAGGAGCGAAACAAGCGGATAGCGAGCTTCTCTTTTTTTCTTCMTTCTTCTCGCCCTCCCCATTATTTTTCTCTTGGTTGGTTCTCAGTTTCTTCAATGATTAACTTAATAAAACCAAAGGAACTCCAATAGTAGAAAATTACTCTATATTCAAAAYAAATGAATAAAAAACAATCATCTAGTTTAAAAATACGCAGAAAATAATTAATGGAAATAAAGGATTGAAAATATGAATTTTTCAAGTGTTTTTGTTGAATGAACATTTGCATGTAGGACATATACAAACACACGTCTTTTGTGTGATTCTAAAAAAACACAGTTAACACCTGTCAATCATAAAGCGCGATCACTGCTCATCAGTTTTCAATGTCTCGACGGAGGGAAGGTATAGGGGGATAAGTACTCAAGATACACGAATACAATTAACAATTCAGAAAAGCGGGTTTTCTGTGGTATGTACGCTTATCGACAATTCAAATAGAAAAGGAATTTCGATTTGTTTTTTTTACCGTAACAAAGCCGAAAACAAAGTAAAACTTTAAAAACAAAACCGTTTCTGGCGAGCGCCGGCTCCGTGCGCGAGCGATTAGTCCTTTCATCCGTCKGTCTGAGGATCGACAACGGCTCTCGACCAATCAGCGCGCGAGAATTCTATAAGTTATCATAAAAAAATACAGTTTGTATTTTCAATATTAATAAATTACTTTTAATATTGTGAACACATCGTGATTTACTTTATATTCAAAAAGGACTTTRAGTTCTTGTACGAATTCTAACCTGGGAAAGGGATTTTGAGCAACATCGTTGACAATCTCACAAGCAAATGTGGCGCCTTTCCTTCTTTAAAATAATGTTGTTCCTGGCAAACGTTTTT